TATACATACAAACACAGATTTCAAAAAAATCTTTTTAACATCGATGTTAAAAATGTGCTTCTGGAATTTTAAGGTTGCTAATAATGTTCGACATAGCTATTTATATAGCATTTGCATACAAATTCTGAATTATCATTCTGAGAGAATCCTGTATTGCAAAGTACACTTACAGCAGGCTTGGGGGGGGAGCTGGCACGAGTCAGCTGCTTTCTGCTGTGGAAAATAAGAAGCAAACATTTAACACCTTTTACTTGTATTGTTTAGCTGTTCGTTAATGGTAACAAAATCCATGTTGCTGCCTCATTTATATGGTAGCAGAAGCAGTTACCAAAAAACTGGTTTAACTCTTCCGTCTCTCAGACCAGGACTGTGCATAAAAAAGGGAGGAGAACTGGCATAAGCCTGTCTAGGTGGAAGCGCTAAGTTCTATTAATATCACTGCGTGATGCTAATGCAAAACAACAGGAAGGGAGCATCTGAAAACAAGCGCGTCGGTACCAGACATGTCAGGCAGTCAACACTGCAGTGGGGGAAAGGGGACAGAAAAAAACCTGGAGCCTGTTTTTCCACTCAAAACTCTTACTGTCCAGTGACTGCCTACCAATATCCATCATTATCGTGGAGAACAAATAATTTCCTTTTCGTAATTTTTTTTTAAATGATTTTGATATCATCTCTGTCACCTCAGTCTTTTTTTTTTCAGCTACCCAGTTTTTCCTCACAGTCTTTATTTTCTGGATGCTCAGGACATATTAGCTTGAGTAATTTGCATAGTAAAGTCAGCTACTGTATTCTCAGGCGTCCTGCTCCCTCTCGCAGGTGTTTCTCAGGGCTTTATCCTTTAGCAAGATCTTAATCCTCTGTGATTGATACTGAATGTGGGAACAGCAAGAAATTGAGGAAATGGAGGAATTGCGTGATTTAGCCTGCGTTCCTGTTGAAAAGCAGGTTATTGGTCACTCCATCTCCAAAAAGATACAGAACTAGAGATGATACAGAGAATAGCAGCAAGGATGTTCAAAGAACTGGAATAAATGGGGTGGTTCAGCCTAGACAAGAGAGTGAGCAGAAATGGAACGTGAGAGAAGCCTGTAGAAGAATGCGTAATATGGATGAGGTGAGTTGGTAGCAGTCACTCAGCGTTCCTTACTACGTGGAACTAGGAGAGCCCAGTGCCGTTGTTAGGCAGCAGACGTTAAACAAAAGGAAAGCTTGGAAAGGAAGGGGTCTTCAAAAAAGATGCAAAAGAAGATTGTGGCACTTGCAGGCCAGCGGTTTGGTTACTGTTTCAAACCCCATGCCAATGGGAGAAAGGTAAATAAGTAGTATCGTGGCATTACTAGTCCTCTTAAACAATACAAGGCATCAAAACCGTAACAGGTTAGAAAAAGTCAGAGATCTTGATTCAGAGTCACAAAAGCAAGACCAGTAACAAAGAAGCTGCTTTAGCAAAAGTGAAGAAAAACCAGGAAAAAAACCATAAAGAAAACAACAATACTCTAGTGAGCAATGTAAAATCAAAACCTCACCTTAGGCCCAAACCTGAACGGTTTCTTTTCTGGCATTGTAAGAAACTTTGACATTTATTCCTTTTCAGTCCCTTAACTCGGACACTAGACTGCATTGGATTTCGGATCTAACTTGGATTTTGGTGTACAGCCCAGATCCCTGCGCTCTGAAGGCACTTTCAGATGGACTTTGGAGGAAGTCAGTCTAGACAGCTTCGGGTCTCTCTCTAGGCTTTACCGAGCACTCAGTAGACAGAGTTGGCTGTTGCCATACACAGAGGTTTTTCAAAGCTACCCAAGTCTTGAAAGTCAACCGTGCATTTCCCGAGAAAAAGCTTTAAGGGCTGAGCTCCACATAGCAGCTCGTTTGACCGCATACGCTGTGTGTAGCTCACATCTATTTGGAAAACAAGAGGAGAAAATACGTACAGCTCGTCGGAATGACGTGAATCTGTTACAGCACCTGCAGGGTAGTTCTTAGGTCTTCGTGGTGGTAGGTAACCTAAGCTAGTTTGAAAATTAAAACTGGGTCTGAGGAGAAGCCGAGAACAAATTAACTGCTGGAGAATGACTGTAGCTGGTTTCCCAGACAACGACAGCTCACTAAAACTCCACCGCTTTGCTGTGGATGCCGTTCCCTATCTTTTTTTTTTTTTAATTCATGACATTTTGTCCAATGAAGAACAGGTTTCTGAGGAGGAGGACTGGAAGTCACTAGAAATATAATTCAAACACAGATAGAACCATGTGCTGCTGAAAACAGTGACAGCTTGCTGCCAAATAAGCTGGTATTTTTGTCTCAGTCTTAAATATGCTTGCAGCCATTCTGATTTCCCATTGCAAACAGGAACTTTTATGTCAGGCTGCATGAAATACTAAAGTGCAGAAAATGTTTGGGGAAGTCTAGGTATTTATAAGTCAAAGACTATTCCAGCCTGCGGAGCTGGGAAAGCAATGAAATTGGCACTTTCAGATCAGCGAGAACAAGCAAAGTCCTCTACCAAGAGCTGCTCATCATGCTTTTCAGAACAGGAATCCTGGGCAAAGAAATAGTTTCAGATTATTAGCCATTTGCACACTAATTACCTGCCCTGTGGCCTATCATCCTGCTCTCGGCCAAATACGGGGCGGAGGGGGGGGGAGAAAAAACCCCAAATGCTTTGTTTTCAATTTCTGGCATTTCCGTAAAGCTCCTAAAGTCCTGCTTGTGTTCCTGCTTCATACTGACCGTGTCCTGTCACCCAAACTGATAGCCCAGGGCCAGAGCTAACGAGCACCTTGGCTAATTTTAAAGAAAATATGAGTAAAAATCATGGTTAAATTTGGCTCAGTACCAGTTCCACTAGGACACTCACTCACAGTGACAGCTGTCTTTTTTTGGTTCAGTTGAAGTAATAAATTATTTTTGGATGAAATGGCTAAAAAATGAGAATTCTCTAGTTAGATTCTGGGTTTGGTGGTAAATGGGATACGTTTGTAACTAAACCAGGTGTAACACAGCCAGCTTTATATCCTGTGAAACATCCAACTTGTACAATGAAATCCAGCCAATTTTTGGCAGTACCGCGTGGGGTTTATTGTTTCAGTCTGAAACTAAACCAAAATTAAGCTGTGCTGATTGACTTCACCTTTACTTTTAAGTTTAGCCCCAGAGCATGAAGTAATTAAAAAAAAAAATGTGTAAAGTTGCTAAAACAGGACTGGCAATTTCCTGCATTTTATTTGGTTATTTAAATCCACCCCCAAAGAAACATTTTTTGACTGAGTGAAAGTTTGCAGACTGAGAACTTCAGAAGATTTCTCACACGCACGCACACACTAATTTCACAGAGCATGGTTTTGTTCTGTTACCGTGTTAACGGAACAGGCAGGAAAGCTCGGCAGCAAATGTACATTCATGAAGTGATGGAATTTTTCAAATAAATTGTTTGGAATACACATGATAGCAATTAAATAGTTATGAGATCTTCTAGTTCCTCAAACATCCGAGCAGGATGAGGCCAGATTTTCGGGTTTTCTGTGGCACGTACACAGTGACAATGCGATGCTATCAAATGGCACCTGGATCCCGCTCTGAGTGTGCTAAGTTAGAGGTGCAGGACAAAGGGGAGTCAAGACTCCAAGAAGAAAACCTTTAAACTAGGGTTAACCTCTAGCGGCTCTAAATATTCAGTATCATATTTGCTGATTTTCACTAGGCGTTGTATTAGCATTACTGTTTCCTAAATACCTTATGTCACAATATTTACCTTTTATGGCTCTGTATCTCCCTCCTTCCTGCCCCGGGAACGATAGATGTGTAGTTTTGGTTTTGACATTAAAACATGAATTTAAAACGAGAGAGGACAGGGAGAAGCTTGTGTTTTCCTTATTACTGAGATGTTTTTTAAAAGGGCTTCTTCTGCTCCTCCAACTGAAAACTGCATTGTGGAAATGCGTGTTTCTTTCCATACACAGTGTGCAGAAACCCTTATTTCCTCCCTGCCAAAGAGATTCTCTAGTGTGATAGTCAAAGCTGGCCATCAGCTCTTGAATGGAAAAAGGTGACTAAAGTCCGTTTTGTCTGCTGTAGTTGAAGTCAGGCTCTTCAATCTCAGTTTCCGTTATGTCTGAGATTTTGGAGTGTGTCCTTCCTATTTCTTCCAGGGCACAGGCCAGGGAGTCAAGGTCGCCATCGTGCTGATGTCGGGCTTCCCAGAGGTCCAGAATGACGGCAGAGGGACTGCTTTGCGTAGCAAAATAGGAGAGGTTCCTAAAAGCAGGGGAGGAAAAGGTGAAACAAAGAGGATGAGGAACAGTATATACTGTAGCTGCCATGAATGTGAAAGTGCCCTCTCTTGTGCCTAGCGCTATAGATGGGTTTAAAAACCAAAACCTTCAGCAAGACCTAGATGAGATGAGTGGAGGGAACCCTCAAGAGGATGCACACCGGTGCATTTGTTCTGCAAACGTCACTTGCTCAGTTTAGCAGAGGTAGAAGGAACAAGGGACTTGAATATTCTGAGGTACATAAATGCTGGCCGGCAGTACCATCCTCTACAAGTCAGAAAAAAAGTCAGTTCTGGAAAGCATCATTAGTAAACTTAGCAAGTATTTGTCAGGGAGAGGAATAATATAACTTCAATGATGCTTGCGATTAGGTGAAGTTACAACACCTTTTAATTTGTCAATTTTTATTTTATTAATATGTGGGTTTTAGGACTTTGCAGGGGTGATGTTTGCAAAGAATGTGGTGAAACAAAGTGTTTACCTTAAACACATTACCCTGGAACTCCTATTATTTCTGGGCTCTGGACATAATCATCTGAATAAATACATTAACTGCAGTCACAAGCATAAATATTATTTATAACATTTGTATTGCATATAGAAACATATCTCTAAATACAGGAAGAAACAGATAAACCTGTAGCACAGAAAAGGAAATTTGGACTTGAATGTTATTGTTTGGTTTCTAAACCAACTCCAACACAATTAAATATTTGCTACTGACCAGTTCTGGACTGTTACCAGCAGTAAAAACCAGGCAGATACCACTTTTTTTCCTCTCAAGCTTCACTAATTACCTTTCCTCAGTCCATTCATCTCTCTGGGTGATCGAAAGTTAACACACAGCAAACAGTTTGCGTATGTGTAGTACAACTCCAGCGTGGAAGAAGTTCCTTGTAGCAACGACATGAGTAGTTTCAGTGGGGTGAAAGAACAGATTACTGTCCCAGCTGAGGAACTAAATAAAGCCAGGCTGTTCCTCTGGTCAACTATTGCCTTGACTTCACCAGAACTAGCCTGTATTTTGACATAGGTGGGAAAATATTATGATGACGCTAAAGGATTACGCTGTACAGCAGATACGCGGAAACCTATGAAGGCAAGTATTTATGCTCTACCATCTGGTTTTATAACTACATTTTGGATTGTTTAAACTGCTCAGCGACTTCCTTTTTCTGTCTATGAATTTGAGATAATAAAAACAGATATTGCAAAGCCCCTACCAGGTGTCTCCAGCACAGAATCAAAAGCTAAAGGGCGATCACAAATTTGGTCTCCCCCAAGTCAGAGTCACCTCCTCAGTACACTGTCTGTGTTTCCTGAGAAAGAAGAAATCTCCTCCAGCTCTCTCTACACATGAGGAACAGAAACCAGAGGAGATTAAAGTGCCTGACAATAGGTAGTAAACACTGATAAGTAAAGCAGAATTTTCTGACTCTCACTGCTGCAAATTACTTTTTTCTTTGGTTCTGATGTGGTTTATTGAGATTCCCATGCAAAGCAACAAGTCAATGAAAAGTTATTTTGTTTGATTTAAGTATTCCTCTACCCTCCTGGGAACATATTTATGGTGTTTGTGACAATCAGAAAATATTTCTGTGAGTGAACTGCATCCACCAATTTAATTTAGCCAAGCGGAAAAAGCAAAATAAGTAGTAAATTGGTTTTTACAGCATCTTTCCATTTTAAATAATCATAATATTATTACTCATAACAGTAGAGCATGACTTTCTTTTTTAAATATGCCTTTTCCTTAAAAAAAAAAAAAAATCTGTGAAAAATGTAGTTCCTTTTGGAATACAAAATACATAGATAGAAGCCAAGGCAACAAGCCATATGATTGTTTCGAGAGAACACGCGACCTCCTGAGTCCTTGGAACCACTGCTTTCGTAGTACACCACAGTGCCAAAAGCCTTCTGCAGTCTTGTGGGGGTACGAAGGCGGCGTCCAGTCCCGACCAAAGCAGCTGACCTTAGAATTAGGATACCAGGTAGGACAGGGCACACGGGCTTATTTGGAGGAGAAAGCAGTTCCTGGTTTCAGTAGCTAGCCGTGTATAAAAGAACGTATGAAATACTGTTTATCCTTGAGAGTAAGCATGGTAATTACTATGCGCGCATCTGTAATACCAGCACACAAACAAAAACCTCGTAACAGCAGCAAATTATTGGCACTGCATATGTAAATGTTCACCTTTCAAAATTGCCTGCCATTACCTGTTAATGCTGTTTTTTTGTGCTAACATCTGCCAGTCTTTGCCTTTGGCATTGGGTGTGTCAAATGTTGCACAGATTCGCTGTCTAATAGAGTAGGGGATTTTGAATGCTTTTGGACCCATCTGTGCAGGGAAGTTGCTGTCTTCGTGTGCAAAGAAAGTGACGGTTTCCCTTTCATTCTGCACGGAATAGAAAAGCAAAGCAGTTAGTTAGGGCATCGGTCTGCCTTGGTGGCTCTCTTTAGCATAGTAACGGTGACGCCAAGAGTCCCGTCCTACGCTCCTGTTCAGAGACAGGGAACCGAGAGGATTTCTGCCCAGCCTCCGCGGAACGAGAACAGCGGCGAGCACAGCCGGGTGCTCTTTTTGCTGCCTTGTAACGCAGGGATTTACCTCCTCCTGATTTGTGAAGGAACTTCTAGAACATCACAAGCACCTATGTACAAAAACGTTTTAAATAGTGCCATTTTCCTTCTACAAGTTTCCTCTTTTTGTTTATTTTTCTGTTACAGATGAAGTCCAATACGGCAGTGATTGGTAGATGGAATGCCACAAAAGCATGTGGGTTTCTAAATCTTTAATTGCTTAAGCGTAAAATACGGACGCATCAATCTCTTATTTGTGATTTTTTTTTTTTTAAAAACACTTGAATTCTAGAAGTACCTCGGTTATGCTGTATTAAAAATCTTGTTGGAATCCAGGTCTTTTTGTAGATCTGGCCCATTCTTTTCCGCTGAAATTATACCATCTTGTGTAATAGTCGCATTTCCATGCATTATTCGTTTTAGTGCAATGCAGCATAAATATTAAATAACAATGATGCTATAGTCTCTTCATATAACATTTATGACACATCCCAAAAGTCACCCATGCAAAGTAATAGCAGCGCTGTAGATATATCGTATGGTCTGACTGTTTAAATTAAATATGCAGAACAATAGTAGATTTTCAGACCCTGCACATGCGAGATAAGCTACTGCTACCTGGTTAGTTCAGGGAATTGTAAAGCAATGAGCAATTCAAGAATTCAGTTGTTATTTATATATTTATTTGACAGTCAAATTATCCTCACTCTTCAATCACTTTTTGAGATAGGCATGAGAAAGCTTTCCATACTAGCAAATCCATTTGAAGACAGAATTGCAACATGCTCTGGGGACTTGTGGACAGATAGGTCCCTTCAGAAAAAAAAACAAACAAAAAAAACCCAACAGAAAACAACAAGAGAGGAAAAGAAAGGCAGCAGCAACTTTGCGTGGAGATATATAGGGAGTGACAGAAGTTTGTTGTGAAATAACAATAAAGACCTGGAAAAACGCTCGGCCATATTCTGAGAATGGTTTTATACAGAATGATGTTTGTGGTTTTCGTCGTTAGTTGCTGCATTCTCTGCACAGTGCATTTAGCATTTATCTGGATTAATCAGCCAAGGTGCTCAATAATCTAAAAAAGCATCGGTAGGACAAATCACCAGCTTGCTTGACTGCATGTTTGAATTCTTTCACCTGTGAGCAAAGCTACAGTCCTTGCAAGACATTCTGTGTACACAAAAATGCTCTAATAAGTGAACAGTCAGTGGTCTGTGCGTACAGGCAATCCAGCCATTTTCAACTCTCACTGCTCTGCAAGCTAGTCAAAAAACTTTTTGCAAGAAAACTATTACCGCCAACTCAAATATAAATTATTTTTAGTGTTGTAGAATCTCTGTACTTTGATTTCTGCTGGAAACGGAGCGTGTAAGGCTTTATATACTTGTTACAGTTTTGACCAGGGCATAAGAAACTACACAGACCTAGAAAGGACAAAAACGGGGAGGGATCACGTCTCACGCGACACCGCAACTTGAAAAGGAGAGAGAACGCTTTACCTCTAGAATGGACGTCTGGATCTGTAGGATTTGCTCGTGACCCTTGACTTGGCGGACGCAGATCTTGCAGGAGAGCTGCGTGGTTGCGGGAGTGTAGCGCTCCAGAGAAAAGGCACAGTGCAGCGGCTGCTGGCTGCTGCACCACACACGGGAGAACGGGACTTCCTGGGAGAGAAACGGATCCCACCGGCACGGGAAAGCGGGCGTGAGAGAGAGAGAGAGAGAGAGAAGTTGTGGCACTCGCAAAATAGGAAAAAAAAGCTATGATTTTCTGCTGCAATTGCGTTTTTACTAACATCCCTTCAAAGGAGGACAAAACTAATAAATGACGATTCAGTTGGTAAATACTAGGATGTCACATTTACTGGAAGGTTAGATTTCATTCAGTGACACAAATGATGAGGGACTGTCATCTAAAACAAAACTGAAGAAAGGTGCGGTGCACTTACTGCTCCTAGGCAGGGACCACGACTCTTACTCTAACCTGCGTCTCCTCGCTGTCACCTTGTAGTACAGAACCCCAAAAAAGGCACTTCCCATCCAGAGCTGTACGTCCTCCCTAAGTTAATGCAGCGCAGAGCACGGCAGTGGATTTTCGATAGTTATGTTCCGCCCGAATTTAAAGCTGCCCACCTGCCCGGGGAGCCACGTGCAGCCCCCTGCCCATCACTGGCCGGGCACAGTTCTCCGTCTTAGTTTCAGCCTGTTAGAGTCTGTGACTACCTCCGGTGCCTGCTCTGCTCCAGCCAGGACAGTTCGTGGGATGAGGGCCCTCATCAAATGCTCTACAGACAACTGCAGCAAGTAATCACCAGGGATTTCTGGCATGTCTGCTTGCTTTAAGTTCCTAAAAATGTACGGAAACAGACCGAAGTACATGGGGGCAGCTAACTTCTGCTTTAGGATTGCTTTCTAAATACCAAAGTTCTGCAACTGGTGTCCTCTCTTTACGCTTTCAGAACGTGTTTGTTTGTTTATTTTTAATTTCCAAGCTAACATCAGCTATAAACCCACTATGGTGTTATACACTGTAGCCATGAAGGGATGTAAATAGTAAAAAAACCAAACACGTTCTCTATTAATTTCAAGACACTGGAAAATACTGTACAATTGGCAACCTGGAGAATAATGTAAAAGGGGAAAAAAAGACTCACATTAATATTTCATTCTATTCTATCTTAGCATTCATCCGTATGATTACAGGACAACATTAAACAGCTTCAATGAGCAATTATCCTAACACGAGAAAACTAGTTTTAAAGTAAAGATTTTTACATTTATTTTTCTAGAGGAGGATTATGAATTTTCTGATTACTCTGTCCCTTTTTCACACACTATTTTTACATTTTAGAATTTATTTGAATGGCAATGTGAATCTGATCCTTCAAAGAAAATGCAATAATTACTATATTAAATTTAATCTTGGCATGCATTCTGCTTGCATTTTTCAGAGGTTTATAAAGGGTTAATAAATGACACAGACCAGGACATAAAAATAAAGGACATAATTCCTTCAGCATTTAATACTGATAGTTATAACTGAGTGATCTACCAACTAGTCACTTGTCGTAATTAGCTGTTTAAATCAATTAAACCACGCACTTAACTCTTATGATCAGTTTATATATGGAAGCTCACCTAAGAGCTTACAGCTCACAAACCACGCATTTCTTCATTCTTGCCTTCCTATAAGCACTTTTTATTGGACTTGGGTTGCCATCTTTGCTGTGGCCCTGAAGAAATCGGCTACGAGAGCGCACAGCTTCGCAGATCAGCCTCACCCTACACTTTACAGTACCATCAAGACTAAACTAAGGAGAATATCATCCTACTCATAGCTGAGATGCAGTTTATTGCTTCTTAAGAGCGTCCCAGGCTATCTGCAATGATGCCCTAAGCGATAATGGTAAGCTCTGCCTTTAGATCCTGAGTTGGTAGCAGTAGCAAGATACCAACGGCGAAAAAGAAAACATTAGCAAAATATTACAAGTGGAGGAACTGTAATTAGGTTTTACCAGAGTAATCATCTCTGCTTTCATTCAGAGTGGAAGAATCACTCGGCTGAAAAGAATTATATGAAACATAATACAGGGGGGCAAAGCATGGTGGAAGGATGAGTCTTTAAAGTATTCCAGAAATGCTTTCAGTTGTATTCTCCTCTTTATAATTAAGTTCCTAGCAGACAGAGAGAATATAAATCATCTCATAGCTAGAGACAGACACCGGATCCTCCGAGAGACACAAGATGCAAGGGAAACAACTGCCTTTAACCCCAAAGGGGCCTGTCTGGCTTCTTAACGCGCTTGTCTCGGCCTCTTCCTGCTCCAACCCCCAAGCAGTTTTTAAGGGTTCCCTCTAGTTACTTGTGCTCCCGGTGGGAAGGACGCCAAGCGCTCGGCATCTGCTCCCGCGGGACGGCCAGGACAAACAAAGGCACTTCGCACAGTCTGGAGGAATTCCAACACCGCCTGCCATTAACTGCTTTTGTGCCGCAGCTTTACGTGATGATTTATTCATCTGTTCAAGCCTTGAAGCAGGACCTTTGCTTATCTGAGAAATCATTCACAGAAATCTTCCCTCACGGCATGATAAAGGTTTCATTTGGTGGACCAAACAGACAGTTATGGAATGGGCTCTTTCAGTTGTTCATGACAACCAGAACAGCCAGCTTGGTTTTAAAGCGTGGTACGTAGGCGAGAAAACAAGTATACACTGGAAGAAACTCCACATGAAGAAACAGATTCTTTTACACATAAAGAGGCTGGAACCAAATCAGAGCTGCCACCAGAGCTGGACGTTTCACAAACGTTTCACTGAGAGGGGAATGCAAAGCCAGTGTAAGTTGTTCTGCAGTTAGAAACAATTATTGTATTTCTCAGCTGTCCAAGTTATCCAAACTCTACTCAATTATGAAATGTAAACGTTTATTTGGCTTCGATATCAGCACTGTGTCAGAGCATTCTGGCAGCTGAAGTTTTGCATGTGCTGCTTTTTTAGCCCGGAGTGGCTGCTGAGAACCGGGTAACGTGCGCGTGCTCCGAATCCGCTGCCGTTCCCCGCCTGCCCCCACCCAAGCACAGCACTTCAGCATTCTTCTGTGGGTTACAGCTCCCTCGTCCGCCTTTTTTTTTTTGTTGTTGTTGTTTTTATCTTGCAGCAATACATTCGATAGCCGCTTTGGACCGTGCCACTTGCGTTAGATTCAGCAAAGTGAGGTCCTTGCAACATGTGAAGGTTAATATTGAGAAGTTTGCATTGGCTATCGTGTCGTGTTTTAACAGCACCCTGCAGGTCCGTTTTGACAAGGAACTCTAGACTAGTACTGGCCAACAGAGAACAAAAATATCGGAGTTTAATATACTACAAGCAATATATTTATTCACAGAAGTCGTACACAGCATTAAGTGCTGAACTGTGCACAAAATATTTTCAGGTGCCAGAGTCGCGCTCAGAGCTTCGCATGTCCCGGGGACTCCCAACCAGCTAAGGAGGTAACGCCCCAAAGAAAGAACAACTTTTAGAAATTATCAGGCAGAAATAATCCTCCCCAAATTTTTAACCACAATGAAACACGGAGGCTAGAGTAGCAAACCCTCTTACTTTGGGTATCAGCAAAGTTGTTTGCAGACAGCGGTAAGTATTGTTTTCTGCGGGTCGTTTTTTTTGATTTATCATACCACAGTGTTACTCGGGTTCTTAGGGTCTGTTCTTGCTTATGCCTTTCTGCAACAGTCTTAAACAATATGAACAGTAATTTCTACTGTGTCCGATACAGGGGAGTGAAAGTTTTCATCTCTGAACCGTTTTATATTCTATTACTAGAGCTATTTGAAGAAGTTGCTTTGCTGCAAGAAAAGTCTAGGGGATTTTTCACCTAAGTAATGTGGTATTTTTGAAGCACTCACCGTAGTGAGACAAGCTCAAATAAAACTTCCCTGATTTTTTTTTTTTCCTCATGTACACTGGGCATTTAACTAATACACATTCTGCACGAAGGGCCTGCGGAAGATGTTTTGGCTGCCTTCTAAAGCGGTCAGAAGAGATCGACATAAGATAATGCTACATACATTTATTTCAAATCTATCAAAGGGTTGTTAGAAAGCAGTTTTCAGCAAACAGACTCTTTCTAAACAGTGCTTTGAGGTTGAATTTTAGTCTATCATGTAGATTTATTCTCCGGGATTGGACAAGGGATCAAGAGACAGTAAATTAATCAAAGTATGGCGCTGTGTTTATAATACGGTGTGAGGCAAAACTCAATTTGTTGTATTAAGAGAACGCTCTCATCATTTTTTTTCCCTGCTCCGTAAGGTACCAGTTTTGATAGGTATTTGATATAGTAGTGGGGCATCCTAAAACTGATTGGTTTGTCTTTTTAAATGCAAATAAGTGAGTGAGAATAAAGAAATCAATTAAAAGCAAGCTGTTCTTTCTATGAAGCTGAAAATGATGCAGTTTCTTTCATTTCTTAAGTTGTAGCATAAATTATCCTTATATTCTTAATGATGTAAGAATTTATCTGAATATAGATCAGGGTTTATAAGTTTCAGAGCCCAGTACACTTATGTTTTGGAGAACAAGGCAACACATTTAAAACGGGTTTTTTTGCCAAAATACTGAATGATGGGTAACTGTCTCTATATGCTTCTGGGGAGAGGGAGATTACACAGTCAATTCAATTAAGTTCTGTATTTTAAAAGACCAGCCCATTCTATGTGCCAGCACATTGCTTATAATTTCCAGTAGCCAACATACTTAGAAACTCTTCTTTTGTTTTTTTTTAACTTTCCTGTCTTCAACAGCCTCTTTAATTAATGTAGTGCAGAAAAAATAATTTGCTGTTCCTCAGTTCTAATTCTTAGTATATATGTGCTGTAATTTGAACTCATGTCATTTTCAGCCATATATTCATAGTTATATTGAAATTGGAATAACAAAGATATCAAAAACATCATCGTGAATGATAAATTTTAACAAGAACATCAACCTTCCGTTGGAGGTAATTGAAATTACATTTTTGTAAAATGAAAAATTTAAAGCATTCTGTTATATATGAAATCTGTGTTTGTCAAAATCACAAGGCAATGTATTTTTGTTGCATACTCAAGAGATTAAAACCACACCTTTCAAAAATAAAGGGGACCATTGTCGTATTTGGGTTATGCCTGTACCAGTGAAAATTCTTACTTCTGCTGAATTCCAACGTAAACAGAACGGACAAGTACCTGACAGGCAGTAAATGGTTTAATTCTCCAAAGGAAAGGAGGGATATCAAGCACAGATATCTGAAGACTGAAGGTATTCCCTTTGAAATGCAAAAGTTTTGGTTCCTCCAGTAATTGTCCTCCTTGGAGTCTTTCATCCGAAACCACTTCCTGCAATGGCAGAGGAGGAAAGAATTTTTTTCAGTATTAGGAACAAATACCAACTCTAATGAAAATTCATCCTTACGGAGGGCATCCAGTTCACGTACTGCGTACCCGGGTACGGCAGTGGAGTGTTTCTCTCCTGCGCCAGCTGACGGGCACTGGCTTTTTTATCTCGCCGCTGGAGGTAAAAGGCTGGTGAGGCGCTGTCAGCTCTGGTGCCCTGTACGTAACGACGGCGCTCGCGATGCTGAATGTTCTTGTTCAGACTGGGAGCGCGGTGCTTGAGAAGGAACCTTTCAGGGGATTGCAACACGGTAGTGGCTGTCTTCACGTTTTGGGGTTTCGAGTCAAAGCCAGCCGGATTTCTCTTTTATGGAAAGTTACTCACATTTGAGTGTTACTATCGCATCCCACAGCATCGCTATTACAAAGGAGAAGTCTACCAGCAGTTCGTTACCCAGAGCGCTCTCTAATGTCAGCGTGAAGAGGGAAGCAAGACTGTGTCAAGCCCCTCTCCAGGTAAAATTTAATTTAATTAAGCTTTTGAAGAGAAAACTCCTACAGGTTGTGTCTAGTATTCCTTAAACACTTGACATACAAAGCTCAGCGAGATATTTACTTAACAGACTAAAAGAAATCTTGGAAGGGCTGACTTTGAGCGGGAGTTTGCACTCTAGCCCTCTAGAGGTCTGTTCCAACCTACATTTTTATATAATTCTGTGAATTTAAAACAGAATAGTAAAAAAATCACCCCTGTCTGTACTTACACAATGTTTATTCCTGTACCATTACACTAAAAATACTAGTGAGGAAGGAAAGCATGCAGAAGTCTTAAAAATCAGCTAGCAAGCAGTCTTTCAAAATCATCTTTTTTTATCCACATAAATTATATAAAACCTGTGTATATCAAAGAGGTTTAGTGCTTGTCAGTAGCAAAGTTATTGTTAGAAGAACTACTGGAATCGTTGTGACCTTCTGAAAATATAATGACTGGTGGATCTTTCTGAAACTATAATAATGGATTTCTATTATAAACCAATCTACAGACATTCAGTTTGTTTTAACTCCTGATGGCTGGGTTTATATGAAAGAACGAGTAAGAAGGGAAACTTTAGGTTTTGATTTTCAACTGCAAAGGGAGCACCTTATTTCATAACTATTTTCAAAATTCCCTGAATGTGTTGGAATTTTTTTTAAAAATGTACTGTAGCTGTATAAATACTGCTCTACCTTTAATAATGCATACGGGCCTTAATTCCACAAGCGTCAGCAGGACTACGGCAAAATACAGAGGATTTGGTTCTTTTGCCTTTTAGAGCCAAGAGTTTCCCAACACACTAGGAATTGCATAAAGGGCAAAGTCATCTGTTAGAAAAGTAAGGTAAGTTTTCACACAGGGACAAAGGGAAAAATCAAGGAACTTTGGATCTTTTATAGGACTGCACCGTAAAGGATTAACGGTGTCAAACAAAACTTGGTAAGCCCAACTCCAATACTTTAGCCAAAAAAAAATCTGCATTTTTCCATGTGCACCACTTAATATTTACACTAGCATGAAGTTGATGCAGCAAGCTTTTAAGGGAAGAATAATTTCATAAATATACCATTGTCTCATCATGTACAAACACCCCGTTCTAATTTCTGTGAATGCGGGAAACTGGTAATTATTGTCCTGACAATTTTCTACAGAAAAGCAAGAAGTAACTTTGAAATCTTATTTATCATAGTATGCATTAAGAAAAAAATAAGCCAGTCTCCTCCATTGTTTTGCTGAATGTCACAATAATTTGAGAAACAAGATGGTAGAGTCAAATCAGGCTGCTATGGGTGAGGGCTTTTGTGGTTTTATTTTAATTTAATATACTGAAGGTAAAATTCAGCATGAATGAATTGCTGAAAGAGGCTGCACCGTGCTATATGAAGCAGCGGGGAAAAAAATACATGCATGGTTGCTCTGAATAAGATTAATCTCAATTCCCCTTGTGGACCTCTTTCATAGTTGCGTTGCACAATCTTGTGGGAGTTTTTTCCTCTATATTTAAAAGTTCCAAAGATTTTTGCACATTTGTCATAATCCTGCTGCACAACACGAAATGCGTACAGGCAGGGCGTAAGCGATGCAGAGTCGCTACAAGGCATGAGAGAATACAGGTTTACATTAACGTAATATAGCGTAGACATATATAACACACGACGCAAAGCTCCTTGTAGGTGTTCACAAAAGCCTAAGAAGGAATTTGGGCCTCTGAATTTCAGGCAGACTCATCCAGGAAAATACTGGTAGCCCACGAATTGTGGAAGTGTTGTAAAGGGTATAATTACAAAGCTATTGTAAGTCTTAAACAATCCTTTCAGTGGCTTTGCTTTTATTAGAAGCACATAGACATTTGTACGTGCTTCATTAAGACTCATGTTTCTATTCTGCATGATAGGAAAAGGAAGCAAAAATTTATCTGTCACAACTGTCTTCATTTCAGTTCCCAAAAGAAAGCCATTTTGTTAAAGCTTCTGAGTTTACTAAGGCTGCAAAAGCCAGTGAATTTTATTGTTTAGTCTTGGAATACCATGCACAAAAATCATGCTAATTTTAATCACCACTTGGGGATTGCTTTGTGTTGTGAGGTTTTTTTTTAAAGAGGAAAGGCATGACTATAATTTAATTTTTCTTTTAAAAGATGGTGAGGCAATCTCTTGCTTCTTGCTCAAATTGTAAAAAAGAGAGGAAATCCTGAACTAATGACAGCGTAAGGGTAACGAGCGTGGTAAATACTGTACATCAAATGATAATGCCTTACATTTTCTGCTTGTAGTGGAGCAGTGCTCAGCTCCAGATGCAAGCTCTGCCTGTGCCACAGAGTAGCCAGGGCACCGAGCCCAGCATAACGCTCTTCGCTTACAGCTGTAGCTTTGTGCTCCGTTAACCGTGGCTGCCTCATTTTTGGTTAGTCTAGAATGGGGGGGCAGAGTGGGTTTCGGTCTGCCCAGCAGAAAATGAACAGCCCGTTTGGCTGTCCTAAAGCTCTTGCAGTGTAAATCCACAAGTGAAACAACAGCGCAGCGAAATGAAGGGACTTCGAATAACTCATGTAGTAGCGGCACAAAAAAAATACTATGGCATTCTCACTCGAGTTCTGGACTATTGCTGTAGCCCAGGGGCTATCCCCAGGAATAACGGAATGTTAGTATTCTAAGGAAAAATAACTAAACCCAAATTAATGAAGTGAAACCATTTACCTGAAATGCACAAGGCGTGTTATCCATACAATATACTCTCAGATTGTAATCCAGAGAATTGCAAGACAGGCAGCCAAAAACCGCTACTTTCAGCTGTCGAACGGCACAGTCAGAGATCGGTTCTCCAATAAGAGCATAAGTTCCAAAGCTGTTTAAGAGAATGTGACAGGCATAAGGATCCAACAGGCAGTAGCAAGAAGTAGTTTCCTCTTCCACAGACATCACTTCCTGCAAAATGAAATTCAAGTTTAAAAAAAATAAAATAAAATGATAAAATCAATAGGCCTTGACAACAGGAGTCATGACATTATTTGTTTATTTTTATTCGACTGGAATGTAAAGTCTTTGTGAGAGGCAGTCTGCACACTCTTTACTCATGTTGACCTCAGGGAAGGGAGAGAAGGTAGACTACCTCTATGAGTAAATACTCCCAATTTAGCCCTGAGTCAGCAATAGGATTTATGGCAATATATTGTGCAGAATTCAGTGTGTACAGCATATAATAATGATGATGCGTAAGCAATTTTAGCATCTTTTTTCAAGTGTTCTTGACTTTCTAGCTAATTTTTTTCCCAATGTCAAGTTAAGAAATTACCTTGAAGATTAAAGTCAATAAGCAAACCTTGAACAATAGGTGGTATTTGACTTCCTTTCAGAACATCCATTACAGTTCTGTTTACCTTCATCAAAAAACTACCTATCCCACTCTTTTGCCTGTCATGCCTAGTACAGCATCATTAGAGGAGATATTTGAGCAGTCTACAGTCTGGTGTTACACTCCTCATTAATTCCAGGGTGTTCGTACCCAACAGTACTGAGTGCATCGAAAGTAGGAAAACTGCACTGAACTTGAAATGGTTTAAACCACAGCAACAAACAGCACCGTGGTTTAGAGGAGAAAAACGATAGAGGGGGTTATGGCATCCATGAATGTTTTAACTACCGTTTTTTTTCTCCTCACAATGCAGTGGACCAAATAGTTCCATCAGCAACAGTGCAATAAAATCTGATTGACTATGGATTTGTGTCTAGTTACCGGGTTCTGCGGTTCTAACAACGTGTACAGTGAACACTTTATAGTTGGGAAATTCAGCACCTTTCTGTCCTCTGTGGATTTCTGAAATGTTGAATAACGGTTCATGCTTTAGCTGTCCCTTTAGGAATATTATTAGTAAGCTGTCTCCCCAAATGATGCAGAAAGTTTACTGTGTTCGAGACTGCTGCCTACCAAGCAGTTTCAGTCAAAGATGGCCAGTGGGCTTAAAGAAATGCAGGTAGACAGACACAAATGATCAAATGTCCATGTCATGACTGCACAAAGCTTAATTTCCCCAGTAAATCAGGATCAGAAAATACACGTTCAACTAAAAAAGCCAAATATTTCATTTAATGTACACTAATCCTTCAGAGGTTATGAGCACAGCGTGATCACCGAATGCCCATTAAAATGACAATGAGACAAGATTTTTAAATCAGGAGGCTCCTTCTAGGTTAAAAAAAAACACAACCTTGACGTGTAAATTTTTAACTAGTTCCATAACTTTACGTCATGATAAATTCTTGCATGGAAATAATGATCTGTTCTGACGTGAGTCTCTTTGGGAACTACGATCTATCAAAACAATGTTTTTAAAAATAAATGACCACTGGCTCCATTATTAAGTGATCTGAGAAAATGACCGCTTTCTCATGTGACATGGGCTAGACCATCAAGTTGACCCTTTTTTGCACATCTTTGTAAAATAGTTGAAAACAGTTTAGCTGCCTCTTAACAAAATGCAAAATCTTTTTTTTTTTTTTTTTTGTTTCTTTAAAACGTGTGCTTCTATCACTTACATAATCTTGGACCTGCGCCTGCATGAATAAGAATAATGACGTTTCCATCGTTAGTACAACCTTTTAAGTGGGAGCGGAAGTCTAAACTTACCTCCCATTTTCCTTGCGGCGTCCTTTTTTTCAAGTGAATATTCCAGTGCTCTGAATTTACTTCCGCGCAGTGTGGTATTGTCAAGGCAAACGGAGTGCTGACAGACAAATCTGAGGGCCCACAAGTTACTTCTGGTCCTAGAAGAACATCCGTGCCTTCGGGCTGTAGGCTTCGTGTGGGGGAAGAGACAATAACGTCTGTCAGGCTCTTTTTAATAAGGAGAGAAACGTTACTTTAACTGCAAATTTTAAAATATTTTAGTTAAAATCTAAGTACGTCACTCATCTGTTACAGAGAAGGATAAGTGAACCAATTACTGTGCTAATTTTCATGGAGAAGCAGTAGCTGAGATGAAACAGAACTATTAGGCCACATCTACTCAAATCGTTGGCTGGTCAGTTTAGGATTCCGGTCTTTAAAATACATTTCAATTTGCTTAAACCAAATACAACACTAAAATTACTCTGTGCGAGTAAGCCTTGCTTTATGCACCAGCTGGTAGTATTGCCATCTAATTCTGCCGTCAAAGACTGTCATCAACAATATTTTCACAGTAGTGAAGATAAAACAAATTATGGTTTAAAAACACAGTCTCATAATTTTTTCCCAGATTGAATGTGATCTCCATGGTTTGAAAACACATTTATATTCTGCAGAACGAACAAGCTAGGTAACTTACAGCAGACATCAGGGACAGGAGTTCTTTGCTTAAATTCAGAGCTCGGCAAAGTAGATATGTGCATGGGGGCTCCATTACAGGCGATGGAGATCCCACCACCACAACTGAGGTCTAGGGATTCATCTAATCTGAATGTAATCACCTGTGTTTGGTTAGATTAACTGCTTGTTAAGTTAGAAAGATGAAGTATCTGACAAGAATCTTCTTTACTTCTCTTTCATTCAAACCTAAATTTAACCCTGTCCCACATAAAAGTGTTTTCCGTATCTCTCATAGTAAATACCTGTGCAGAGCCAGTGACAAAGTGGATGAGACTCCCTTCCTAGGCATTAAAACTAGCAATGGAAACATCTTGCCCTGTTGGTTTGGTTTTGTTTGGGGTTTTTTTGGTTTTGTTTTTACACTGTCATCCTTCATCTCGGTTGTACGATCCCAATTTTTGGCTTCTAAATTACTGGACGCGTAGTTCACTTTTAAAATTCAAGCAAATGGTGTTTCCAAGATAAAAATAAGGGGAAGGACCTTAACCAAGATATAGATAAGAAGATACAATAATAAAGCCAAGACAGAAATAAGGGGAAAACCCCTGTTTAAAATCGAGCTGCCCAGAGCTCTGCAATAGCAGACGGGAACCACCAAACCGCCCCACGCCGCCGGTGCTGGGCCAGCGCTTCGTGGCTGCACTGATAAGCTCTACGCTACCCGAGCCGACTGGGCTAACACCTTGAAGGGAACGTAGCTCTGATGTAGGCACACTGAGGTGTAGCCCTGCGCTTAAATCAACTGGATTGCAATCCTGCGAAGTGACTCGGCACATCTGTCTGACATCCCCCGGGGAGAACGTTCTCAGTGTAACTAACAGTGGGGGCTCTGAAAACGCAGTTAAAAATCACCACTCTTGCTCAACACTTGAAAAGTTCCAACAACTTCAGTGACATCCCTTACTAAAGACCACGCGTGTAAATATTTGTGAGATGAAGACTGGAGTGAAAAAAAAAAAAAGGACACAACATGCTAACAAAAAAAGCCAATTCTGCTTTTTCAAGTGTCATAAGAATAAATGCTCCCTAAGCCTCTGTGCTTCTAAGTGCTTGTAGGATTCTTAGGCTTAAAAAAAATCAATGCACAAGCACCACCTCTACTATCGCTGCCATGTTCCTCTTGAACAGCAAGTGCTCGAGAGCGGAAGAGTCGCGAGCACAAAGCATACGGTGCTTGCAGGCCTTGTGCCGCAACGCATCTCTGCCAACAGCAGCGGTCCTACTGCCTGTAGAGACACGTGCGAGTTGTTGAACCGATACCAGAGTGACTACTCCATGCAAACGGTTCAAGCAGTAAAACCTGCTTGCTTCTGCTTATGTCTATGAATAACAAACAATTTTTCACAACTCCTGCATTGCTAGGAAAATGCTGCTTTTGCACAAAATACCATCGCTTAAGACCAGCCACTGCTACCCTTTACAAATGGTATTTGATTTCCTTAAAAAGAAAACCTGCCAGCAGTTACCCCAAATCACCGCTTTTTCCAGCTAATTTAAGAAATCATCCAGTTACTTACAAACACAAAGAAAAAAAGTCTCAGAATTATTAGAAACCCTCAAGACAACTTTTATATATATTTATTTTTCAGTAAGTTATTCTGTTCACATGATTCCTCTCTGCTGTACCTCAGCAAAGGCTGGTGCATTCTACGTCCTTATCTCTGTTTTGATGCAGCTGCAGGAAAGGGGTAACAAAAGCGTATTTCCAGAGAGCGCGTCAAACCTGAGTTATTTAACTTGGTTCGTGCATTTCTATCCTATCTCGCCCCCCCACGTCCTCTGCCAAGTGGCTGCTGCTGACAAACGCACAAAATACGGGGAGGGTGGGGAGGTGGCGGTGGTGGAATTTTGCTCCAGGACAAAGCTCGACAAGTCATCCTCAATAATGGGAGCAAAACACAGGTCAGTTTGTTTTCAGCACAACACCCTTAGGAGACGTGAATCTAGAGTTTTAGTTATGCTACTGGTGATGATTGCCAGCAGAAATAGCTGCAATTTTTTAAGCATCCAAGAATGAAAACACAAATATACAAGACACACAAAAAAATTAATGTCAGTAGTGGCAGGAGAGTCCTGACAGCAGCCTGGCAAAGTTGATACGAAAGATGACTGGGAGACTGATTGCAGTCTACCAAGTGACCTCCCACCCACCTCATTAAAAAAAAATTAAAAATTTAAAAAAAAAAAAAAAAAAAGAACAGAAGAAAAAGTCAGAGTCACTGAAATGGTGATGGCCACTAGCAGGGGTCCAGGGTCACGCTGCCTAATTGCCGACGGCGTCCCTCACGGAGAGGAAGAGCAGGGATGTGTGCGAACGGCCAGTGACGGGCTGGTCGGAAAGGAGCTATTTAATTGCTTTTAGAGAATCGTTCCCCTTGTAGAACATATTGGACAAACATATGGGAGTTCTGGGAATTATTTAATGCCAAATGAACTGAAATCAGTTAATTAGATGAACTCTCACACTTGTTGCAAGTAGCAAGAGTCTTCTGTGTAATAACTGACATGGTATTCAGGCTCGCACGCAGTTCTGAGCCATTTATTAGGCAAGGCAGGAGAGGGAAACATTACCGAATGCAACCGAGTAGTTAATATTCCCATTGCTGCAAGGTAAAACAAATCAGTAACCAGATCTGTCCCCTCAAATCCATCAAAATCAAAGGTCTGTAAGTTTTCCAGTAAAAGACAGACAAATAGTCACTATTGCTGAGCAAAAATTAAAGACTGTTTTTTCTAAGAATACTACATGGGAAAGAAACATTAGGAATTTCATCCCACAATATTCTACCCTCTACAACATACTGGTGACGAGGTTTCTGGCATACTGGGAAGGTTAACTGGAGAAGCAAGGAAGTGAAGAGGAAACAGTACTGAGGGTCTGTTTTCTTCTGGACGCCACGAATTTCAGAGAAGAATTTCATACTTGCCTTTCAATATTTACTCTCCCAGTGGCTTATCATAAGCATCTGCAAAAGAGAACCTAACGGCGTAAATAACAGACTCCTAAATGAACCGCAATACCTGGGAAGTGAAGGCTGTGGTAACGAACACAGCGGTGCCTTCAGTCTGGATTTCTCATTGCAGTTCGCTCCTTGGATGGCAAAAGTATTTGCTTTCAGACTGCTACAGACACTGAAATATTGTTTTTTTTCCCCCTCCCCATTGCACTGACACTCATACATAAGAACGTGATGGAAAAGCAGCAAAATAAATTCCTGGTTTAAAAAAATCAATTTACAAAAGGCACAGCATGATATTTAAACTATATACCCATCAAGCCTGCAGTTTACAGCTGAAATGGATTCTACTGCTGTGGGTTGCTTTTGTGAGATGAGAAAATTTTGCCTTTGGAAAATAAAGGTACATTATTTGTCACATTCGTATACCAAATTGCGTGTAAGTGCATACATTCATGAAGCTTTGATTTTTCAAATTATATAATTACAAAATACGTGTAAGCCTGGGCAGGACTGTCTGGTTTTATTCTGTGCATGCCAATTCCGGTGTGTGAATACTACGCATAGGTGTTGGAGACTGGAAGTTAAGTGCGCACCAAAAATACATTCTGGTTTTCATGTTATGCATCCAAATGTGTTCAATTACCACGGAACCTTCACAGCTCTGCCAAATTCCTACAAAACAAAATGACAAAGAAAGTGGGTGGTGGTAACAGGAGACCTGGTTGTCTCAGTCACCTCAGTTTTCTTTTCTCCTAAGTTTCCACTCTGTAATCTGCCCACTCTTATTTTGCCTGGATGGTTGGAATCTCTGAAAACCATTATTTTAGAGTATTTTCATAAACACTGCATCTCAGTTGTGCTTTTTTCTAATATTTAGAATATAGAGGCATAGTTAAAATTTACAAAGTTTAGTCAATCTAAACTCATAAGAAGTTTTTGTGTGATACTAACCAAACACACCAATATACTCGTACAATTCCCAACTTTATGTTTGATGGAAGAATGCAGTGTGAGGGTTTCTATATATTCAGGGACCCAAATCTTTACAGTTTATACTGGCACATGTAAGGAAAAATAATTTGTTTATACTGTAGGTGACTAAATGGTCATCTTAATTAAGAGTCACTTTGGCTATCCCCACCTTTTCTCACATTGCAATCGGTATGGTATTGGAAATGTACTACTAAAATAACAGCAGTGTGTAGAGTGTAGGGTAGGAGAAAAAGTTTGCAAGAAAGGAGAAATAAAAGAAACGATGATCAGGAAAATTGCAAATATTTCAGGGTAGATTCTGCCTTCTGTTACAGCTCAGAGAACCTTGTTATTTAAGCATGGAATACCAACCACATTCAACAGACACACTATTATCTGCATAATTGCAGACTGACATTTTTCTCTTTGATACCCTTTCCATGCAGGATATTTTATAGAGCTTTATGTGCATTAAAGGCACGTAAAGAGAACTGCAACAAATTTGCTTACTGCGTCA